GTACTGCATCCTCAAACGCCGCAGCAGGCCTGGTTTTGGCACCAGCTTTGTCGCAATCATCCCACCACTCCTGACAAGATCTGTCAAAAATCTCTAGATTTGACAGGTGGACGTGTGAGCACAACACAGAAACCAGAATAAACTAGACAGCATGTATATCCAGCCAAATTTTGGATGACAAGCTGCAAAGACTGAACAAACTGACATACATCGTCAATCACAGCTCAATGCAACATGCCCTCCTGCATGGCTCGCCCTGCCATTGCAGAGTCCATAGAATTGCAGTCAGTGGAATCTGTGAAGTACGCGGCGTAGCGCCACTTCACTGCTGGCTTTTGATCAGCAGACGACCTAAGCTCTGCCTTTTGCAGCTGCCACACTGCCCTGGACCACTCACCAAATTGGTTTGGCAAAAGATCGAACGCGTAGACAGTTGTCTCTTCAGGTAGTTTCATGCCCTGCACGCACGCCTCAAAGACTTTCAGGGTCCCATCCACGCCAGGCTGCTGTACCTGACTGTAGGTGCGATGTGCTAACAAATTGAAAGCGTGTTGGATTCACATTGGATTACCAAATCAACAGCCAAAGAACTCGATGATTGGGCGGGATTGGCGAGTCTGGATCCAAGTTCACGAGATCTCCCACTCTTGCTCGTGGGATGTTGGGAATCTGGCCAAGAAGGACATTGCTCTTGCACCATCTATAGATGCTTTCTGACTCGTTGAGATGGCTGCCAAGCCTGACCAATGCCAAGATGCATCATGAAAAATTAGAGTGCCAATGCCAAGATGTATCATGAAAAATGAGCAGCATAAATTGATATGTCGTTTAAATGAGTGAAATTGACATTGACAAAGCCAAGCAAAGATACATTATTGTGATGTACGCCGTTTGTCATTGCCATGAGCATTCTCATCAGCAAAGTTCAAGCTGATCTCCCAGTAATCACTGTTGGTTCACAGGCTCCCTCTCTCTGTCACCCGCGCGCATATGCAGCACACACGCAACACTGTAATTTTGGCGAGGCTCGCAATGACCTTGTCTTCCAAGAGACGCCTGTGTTTGACCACCGAATGTTTCTTAGTACTGCTGTGGTATTGTGGTTCCAGCGCCAGCAACATGGACCTGTCGTTGGCACCAGTGACAATGGATGCCAGTTCAACACCCTCGTCGATGCACATGACACCTGCACGATGAAACACCAAGTAAAGAACAACATGCCATTTGCACTCTTTGACACAATCTTTGACTTGTATTCTTGAGTTTGACAAGAGTTGTTGCCGGCAAGGTGCGGCTCGGCCACAAGGTTGCATCCAGGACAAGCAGCGCGAACCTGACAAGCATGCCGGATGTTGCAAACGCTTACAAACACTAACTCATGTTATCACATTTAATTTTCACATTGCATTGTGCCAAACTGTGTTGATATGTGCTGATGTAAAGTTTGCATTATTGTGTAATGCATTGAGCTTTGAACGATTTGTTGCCATCACTGGATTGCACAGACAGCACTTCAGCCGCCGATTGGGTCAGTTTCTCCATGTGTACATGACGGTGACGAGAATTCATGAAACGGCGTACTTCACGAATGCCCTTCTCATATCTCTCTGTGAGGTATTTGCAGTCGAGGAAGCCCTGACCAGGCGAGACATGGGGAATTTGAATTGTTGGATGTTCAGTTCTTCAGTGTGCATGTAGGTGAGTGTGCCGCAACACAAACTTTCACAAAGTACACTTGTCAAAGTAAATGTCTTTGCCTGGCGGTTTGCCCAATCCTGAAACTTGCGGCTCCATGCATTCACGGCTTCAATGTCCCTGACAATATCGTGCTGGGCTTGTTCAAAGTTCAAGGCGGCTACCTTCATGGATAGCCTGAGTTGCAGTTGAATGAAGTTAGCCAACTAGAAGCAGCATGCTTGCGGTTTTTACAGGACTAGCCGCCCATGGGTGTGTCGCGCGCCAACAAAGACAAGTAGAACATGTGACCGAGACACTCTTCATCCTTTGCAGCTTGTTGTTCAAGCGCCTTTGGGGCAACGTTGAAACCAGTTTTCTCAATCTATTTGCAAGCTCAATCGATGAGACCAGCCTGTTTGCCCCACTTGGTCAGGCAGCTGTTGAATATGCCAACGCGAGCCAAGTCAGCCGGCGGCACAGTGGACTCCATGAGGGCTTGGAAATCTGAGCCTGCACGACGGTTCCGAAACCTGAGCTTGATGTCTGTGTTTTGCCCATGGTACCAAGCACATACTCAAGCACATTGAAACACCGCACATGGCTTGACTGTGAACCATGAAGAACAAAATTAAAACCCAGGAACGATGTT